CAAATCCTTATACCTACACTTTATCCTCAATTATGGGTTCTAGCACACAAGTTTTTAACTGCCAGGGGAATATTGAATAATTTGTGTGTGTGTGTGTGTGTGTAACAAAGAGGCGTAGGGCACATAAGTTTGGGAATCTGTGCTGTACCTTCACTAACTCACAATAAAAGGTTTATAAAAAGAAGACTGAGTAAAACCCAGGAAGATAAATAGGAATTGGTGAACAAATAAAGTTGCCTGTAGGATTTTGGAAGACTTGGAGAAATTCCCCATAAACACATTCCTGCAATCTGGACAAATCTGTAGTGATAAACAAGTCTTAAGTCATTAAATAAATGAAAAGACAGATGCAGAATCTGAGACACAGACCTACATTCATACAGGGACACACAGTATACAAAAATGTTGACATTAATGTCAGTGGTAATTTGGCAAATTCTGCTATAATTTGCCAAATTCTGAACATGAAACCTTCCATAGGACAAATAAAGGCATGGAACAAAAAGTAGAACTATGAGGATTTTAAAGACACTTCAAAGGCATGACACAGAAACCCTGGTGGCAGCGGTAGGCACCAGATGCTCTGCTGTACAAAGATGGGTGGTGTGATAGGGTGCCACACAAACTGTGTGGCAGTTCTACTCTGGCCTATGGGATCACGGGGCCAAAATCAACTTAGTGGCAACAGCTCTTTGGGCTGTACACAGACATTCTTTGAATCCAGATTGCTTGAGAATACCAGGGAAAACTGAAGGTAGACTGGGTGCCAGGTGATACTAAGGAATTGCTGTTAATTCTGTTGACTATCATCATTGTATTGTGCTATATTCTTTTGGTGCCCTGGTGGTACTGTGGGTTAGGTGTTAGACTCCTAAGTGCAAGTTCACTGGTTTAAACCCATTAGCCACACAGGGGGAGAAAGATGAGGATCTCTGTTCCTGTAAAGATTTAGTCTCAGGAACCCCACCTAAGGTCACTGAGAGAATTGACTCAACTGCAGTGGGTCTTTTTGGGTATGTTTGTTTTTAGTAACTTTTAGCATCAGAAAAATAACTCTTGTAATTCCCTTTCAGGAAACAGTATCAGTGCTTTGGCCATCTTAAGTTACAGGCTATTTATCATAAACTACAGGGGTTTTTAATTTTATTCTAATTGAATTTATAGTACCTATGACTTCCCTATATACATAAAAAACAATAGAATCAGCACATACTAAACTATCTTGAATAATTTGTCATTCATAAGTTTGTGGCTTTTACAAACAGCACATCTCCCTAATATATGATGATTCCTCGGCTTACTAGTTGCAGTGTACAAATGCAATAAAATACATGCTTGGTGAACATTCACTCACATTTACAAGATGGAAGCTAAAGATTTGGTTTCAACAGATGTTTAACTATCCTACAATTAGCATTATATCATAATATGCGAGCGGTTTTCAACCTGTGGGTTGTGACCCCTTTGGGGGGTCGAACGACCCTTTCACAGGGGTCACCTAATACAACCTGCATATCAGATATTTACATTATGACTCTTTTAACAGTAGCAAAATTAGTTATGAAGTAGCAATAAAAATAATTTTATGGAAATAAATAAAAAATAATAATAATAATAATTTTATGGTTGGGGCATCACGACATGAACTGTATTAAAGGGTCGAGGCATTAGGAAAGTTGAGAACCACTGTAATAAGCCATCAAAGCAACTTTTTATGTTATCTCCTAATACCACCTAAGAGACGCATAACAAAATAGCAAAACAAACTGGGAGTTTTGCATTTCCATTAAACCTCCTCAGACCATTGACCAGGGCGTGATAAAGCCTGCCTCAGACAGTACCTCAGAATTAATGCAAAACTTAACCACTTAAGAAAACTTGATGCATTTGAATTGTGGTGGTGGAGAATAATATTCAAAGTACCATGGACTGCTAAAAGGGCAAACCAATCTGTCTTAGATGCAGCATGGCCGAGATGCCCCTCAGAAGCAAGGATGGCAAGACTTTGTCTTACATACTTTGGACATGTTGTCAGGAGAGGCCAGTCCCTGGAGAACATCATGTTTGGTAGAGGAGCAGCGAAGGAAAGGAAGGTGAGTTAGTTAATTGTGCCAGCCTGGCCGATAATCACATGTGGGGCTGGTT